ATACATATAAGAAAATTGACCTTAAAATCCATAACAATGCAAATTATTCATATCTATATCATCTCCCCCTTTAAATATAAAAGAACATTTATAAAAAATATTTGGAAATATGGATGGAGTTATTTCTCTCCAAACTGCTCTGTGCTGAATAGGGGTGTTGTAATTTAGGTCTTTCATGGCATAACCTGTGTACTAGTTTCATCTCAGTTGGCAGTTGAGCGAAGTAAGTTTTTGAGGGTGTTCACAGCAACCTTTCAGGACGGTATCATACCATATTGGGATAGAAGAAATCCACAGAGTCTCATCCTCTGGGAAAACAAAAGAAGACCCTCTCCAAAGCATCATATCCTTAAACCCAAATTCTGAAGTCATACCCTTATGATATCCATTCTGGTTTAGCTTGGCAGCCCATATAATGAAATGTCTCTCTGTACTTAGCTCCTTCACAGTCAAAAATTTTAAAGAAAACACAATGTACATAATCCAGACTCTCTGTGAAGTTTCCATTTTTATGTGGCTTATTTTTCTTTATTTCTTTTAATCTATAACTATCTGTACTCTGTCTCTTTAAAGACTTTACCCTTTTAAAAAAATGCATTAACCTTATTCTCTATATTCTTTTTCTTCTCTTTCCCAAGCCTATATACACTCATTTAAAATTGTGACCTGTGTGGTGGTCTTTTATGTCTGAATCTGCCCTATTGTGAATCTGTAATTCTTTACTGTCCAGGAGCACTTCTTAAAATGTTAAGCACTTCTTAAAAACTTAAGTTGTGCCATGTAGAGGTAATACGGTACAGCCTGTTTACTGCTAGTCTAAACCTTAACTAAGGTATTATTATGATAATTACGATTGTTCCTGCCTGAGTTTAGTACAGATTAGCATGGCAGAGTGGAGCTGGAGCCCCTCCTGACTCATAGCCATTTAGTGCCCGTGAGCTGCACACAGTTCCAGGCACATAGCAGTCCACATTGGCATCAAGCAAGCTGTAGCATTTTATTCCAAATGCTCCATTCAAAAGCTCTGTCTCCCACAGGAGCCAGGCAAAGATCACAATGGCAGCACAGCCCAGAAAGCCAATATTTTAAAACTGCAGCTTTTTTCCTGTTACAGCTGCTGAGTCAGGGAATTCTCTCTGTGGCACACCACCCACAAACAGCAAAAACCTGCGTTAAACTCTGTTTTTGTGTGTGTGTGTGTTTAAAATTAAGCTCTCTCAGGTTTTACATGGATCCAGTTTACCACGTTGGAGTGCCACTCTGTAGTAGTGGGAGCAGTGGGCTGCGTTCCCATCCGGCCCTGCACAGCTAGCTTTTTAATCGAAATAACAACACACAAATTTTATTCTTTTGAACATGGCTTGGCCCATTAGCTCTAGCCTCTTACTGGCTAACTCTCACATCTTGACTAATCCATTTCTAATGAGTGTAGCACCACGAGGTGGTGTCTTACTGGGAATATTCTTAACCTGTGTCCATCTCGGAGAGGAGAGCTATGGTAACTGCCTTACTGCCTTCTTCCTCCCAGCATTCTGTTCAGTCTACTCCGCCTATCTAAGCTGCTGTCCTATCAAAGGCCAAGCAGTTTCTTTATTAATTAACCAATGAAAGCAACAGATAGACAGAAGACACTTCCACATCAGGGGGACGGATATGGATGGTTGCTATCTAAAGCTAAAATTGTGAAAACCCACAAAATAGCAACACCACAAGGCCTATAACAGGGATGTCTCCCCATATAGGCAGGGTGCAAATCAGCGCAAACACCCAGGACCCATGAGTGGTGTGTCCCCTGAATACGGGTGGGATGCTATGGCCTGGCTGTATCCAGTCAGGGTCCAGAGAGACAAGAGGCCGCTCTGAGTGCCCTTTTACGGCAATGAAAAAACAAAAAGAGAAGAAATGAAAAAAAAGATGAAGAATCTGGGGGACCCTGGATCCCCCCAGCAGTTGAACGCACCGCACAGTTTCTGGTGCTAGAGCGGGCTGACTAACCCCAGGTTAGTCCAAACACAATTTTAATTATGGAAAGCAAGCATAGCAGAATGGCTGAAGACTCACCATTCAAAGCCTGGAATCCAGTGGTGGGAGTAGGAAAAAAGCCCTGGTTCAGGATCCTACTCTCTGGAGAGGAGCAGTAGGGCCTATCAGCGTCAAGCGGCACCAATGTTATGGATTTGCAGCCAGTCCCCAGCAACTTGTTGCGGGGACCTGGTGGCGGCTGGTCCACAAAGCAAAGTGGCTAATCCCCAGCCATGTGTGGGCAGGCTGGTTCCTGGCAAGCCCGGCAAGCTGTGTGAGCAGGTGGTGGTGGATGGGAGGCACATAGACAGGCATATCATACAGAATAGAATTGGATATCTATTAGTTGGGTTATGAAGGGGAATTAAAACGTAGATAAGGGAGGTAAGGAGGGAAGAGAAGGGACAGAGATAGAGCCAAGATGGCGAGGGAGGGATAGAGGCTGCAGGGAGTGGGCATAGCTTGTCTCTTAAAGAGACAGCATTACAGTTGGGGTGCCTTATTCCCAGCACTGGCACTTGGAAGGCTTAGGCAGGCAGATCTCTCTGAGTTCATGACAGTTTCTCTATGAAACAGTCCTGACTATCCTGGAACTTGCTTTGTAGACCAGGCTGACTCATGGCACTCAGGCACTCTTTGAGTTTGAGACCAGTCTGGTCTACAAAGTGAGTCCCAGGCCAGTCAGGACAGGATTGTTTCACAGAGAAACCCTGTCTCTAAAAACAAAAAAATGGGGAAGGGGTGGAATCTCAGGAAGTATTAAGGAATCTGCTTCTGTACAGTAATGGTGAGGCTGATATGGGAACAAGATGCACTGTGGGAAAATGGAGGATAGAGTCAGTAATGTGTACAAACAAAGGAGAATATGAGGTTTAGAGTTTAGTAGTCAAGCTATAAGTCCCAAGGGGATACTTTATGTTCAGCTTGCTGGAAGGTGCCACAATATGTTCTGGCTTGGGATATTCAGTGCACATAATGTCTCCAAATGTCATCCTAGGATTTTATATTCTAAAAAGAAAATATTTATTCATTGATTGATTAATTGATTTAAATGTGTATTGGTATTTTTCCTGATATATCTGTGTCAGGGTGTTAGATCACCTAGAACTAAAGTTATTGAGAGTTGGGAGCTGCCATATGGATCTTCTGGAAGAATAGCCAGTGCTCTTAACCACTGAGCCATCTCCTCTAGTCCTTTTTTATTTCTAATTAAAGCAGAATTTATTTGATTTTTAACTATGTGTACCTTTATATACAAATATTTACATATGTATTTACATACATGTTTTTGGATATGTAAGTGCAATTACCAACAAAATACAGAAGAGGGGTGTCAGATCTCCTGGAGCTAGAGTTGCAAGAAGTTTGTGAAACACTTGTTATTGGTATTGGAACAAATTACTCTAATTAACCACTAACTTGTCACTCCAGCATGGGTTTCCAGGCTTTCTTAGAGAAAAGTATGGAGGGGAATTTTTTTTTTAGAAGAAATAAGGACTTTAATGAAGACTATTTCCCTTTGGTATAAGACATCTAAACCAAAAATAGGCGATGGCCAAGACTAAAAACCAAAAACCCGTCGAGCCCCCTTGTTCACAAGGCCTACAGAGTGAGCTCGCAAGATTTCTGTCCTGGCTGCATTGGCCCACAAGCGGAAGGTAGGATCTTAAGTAAGATTTCACATCATGACCCCACAACACTGTTTAACCAAACTTCTCAGTTCTCTTGAGGAATAAGAAAAATAAATCCTGTCTTACGTACTTTTAGGCCAGATCGAGTAAAATATCAACAGTTGTTAAAAAAAAAAAAAGCTTGGAAAACTCAACGAGGTGATATATAAATGAAATCGACTATCATAATTTGTGCCCAAAAGTAAGCAACAGAAACAAAATCAGGAAAATAAATTTACAGCCCTAAAATGTATGCGCGTAAAAAAAAAAAAGTGCAGTTCCAGACCTACCAATAGTACTGGGGATGGTCTACTGCTTCGGTCTCAAAGCCTCCACAGAACCCACCTGGAGGCTAACTGTACACATCCTGGAGGCCCATGTCAGTCACACACACCCATCCCAAAAGAGTGGATGGGGCTGCCGGAAGAAGGGCTACACTTTGGCTGGAGACTATAACACACATGCAAACAGGGGAGGGGCAGGCTTAAAAAATGTATAAACCCCTTGGAGAAAGGGATCAAGGCCAGGAGGCACTGAGCAAGGGAGGGGTCCAAACCTGCCCCCCACCCCTCCACCACCAGGAGGGGGCTCTGAGGCAATCTCTCTGTCTCTTTCTTTTTGGTTTTTGGAGTTAGGGTCTCTTTACATGGCCCTGACTGTTCTGGAACTAACTCTGTTGCAGACCAGGCTGGCCTCACAAATCTTCTTGTCTCTGCCTCCTGAGTGCGGATTAAAGGCATGTGCCACCAAGCCCAGCTTGGGGCAATCTCTTAAGGGCTGCACAACCAAAAGGCAGAGGAGATAGCTGCCACTCCGGCCCCTATTCTTCCCAAACACAGAAAGGAGTGCTGAAACAACAGGGTTCCAGAGCCAAGGCATCAGCAACCCTTATCCACACGAAGGGCCTGAGAACTCTTTGCATAAAGTATCTGCAGACCTAGGAGATAGTCAAAGGCACAAAGTTGTAAGGGATGCATAGGGAATAGGATATGTTAAGAGGGATCTGGGGTACCCTGAAGACCAGGGGTAAACCAGAGGTATGATTACTTCCCTTCCCCCAAAGGGCAATTGCTCCACTGGGTCTTTTTCCATTTTAAGAACCTACCCTTTGGGGGAAAGGGCATCAGGTTGGCACAGACAAGGCCCAGGCAAGGGACCACTCTGTACATTAATACTTTGGTGAGGTTTGGGCAGAAGCAGGATGCTACCCCAGGTTCCTAACTAAAATTCCCTGTCTCAGGTGAGCACAAACAGAGGTCCCAGGAGTTAGAGGACGCAGTGGAATGGGGTGGAGGGCTTCCAGGACAGACTGAAGATCACACTTTCTGGTCCACTGGTTGCTGTAGGCACAGTTCGCTGCCCGCGGAGATGATGGGCAAGTGATTGTCCATGTGGTAGTTGATGAGGTGACTGACGCTCTCAAAGCGGTGATCTTTTGTCCAAACCACACCTTCAGGGTCCACTAGAAGGAGGTGCTTGGGCTGCCCACTCTGCAGGCCAGTGAGCACGTACTGGCCAGGTGTGGTTGTGCTCTCTCGCACCAAGAAGTCACCGTTGAGGTGGAGCAGGGCTTCAGCCTCATGCCGGCTCAGCTTCCCATGGAACCAGGACTCCCCTTGGAGCTGCTCAGCCATGGACATGGACTGGGGAGGTAGAGGCGCCCGGAGGGCATCTTCAAAGGGCTTCATGTCAAAGAGGTCTCGAGGTGCACTGCCATTAACAGAAGGATTGGGAGGCCCAGACCCACCCCCAGCTTGGCGGGCCTTGTCTAGATTCTGGATGTTGACATAGGAAGGGTCATCAAAGAGCTCTCTGCCTGGGCAAGGTGGTGGAGGCAGCATCTGCTTATGGACATCAGCGTCTCCTTCAGCATGCTGCACTACAGGCAGTGTAGCTCCCAAGTGGCTGGGCATCTGGGCAGTGGGCAGAGTGGGTCGAGCAGCCCCTTCTAGAAGCCTCATGTCTACCACCCCGCCGAGAGGGGGTTCCTTCCCTGGGAAGTCATTATAGTACTGATGGTCAGGTGGCTCTTCCTCCTCATCCCAAGCTGAGCCATCAAAGCCAGCCATCCTGTCATGGGGGGTGACCAGTTTGGGTGGATTCCTGAGATACTGTTTGAAGCGCAACTCAAAGGCCTGACCGATGGTGCTGATGACATCCTGAGCAAGCCCTTCAGAGCGCTCCAGGATATGGCAGGCTCTCTGATTTACAGTGTCTTTGGCAACGTAGGCAACATGCTCGGCTGTGTCCGGATCCCCACCAAACGCGAATGAGATAGATTGCATATGATGGTTGGCAATGATCTGTTTGTAGTCGGCTGCCATGAGGTTAAGGCTGCTGGTGGACACAGTGAGGGTGACTGGCATTCTAGCAAACTTCAGGTTACTCCTCCCCAGGATGGAGCTGAGTGGGCGGCTAGAGGGCTTTCTCCTCCTTGTTGCTCCTCTGGCACCAGGCACGGCTTCACACACCAAACTGATGGCCTCCCTGGTGACCTGCGTCCGGGTATTGAAGTCAAGGGCTCGCATTGACTGCAGGACCTCCACACAACCCATATACTGTGGGAGAAGAAGGCAAGGATAGTGGAGGGGGATTTTTGAATGTTTTTTTTTTTAATATCTATCTAACATGCATAGATGAACAAGAGATGTTTGGATCAAATCTACCTCCCCTTAGTTCATCCCACATCCCAGCACTACTTTTTCTTTCCCAACTTGTTCTCTTTCAAATTCATGGCCTCTTTTTTGTTAATTATTATTGCATGTATATATTTATATATACATATCCATTATAAAATATAACCTACTCAGTCTTTATAATGTACTCATTGTTACTCTTATATGTTTTCAAGGATGCTATTGGATAACTAATTGGTATACTGTTCCCAGGTGAAGAAGATTTCTCTTGCTCTCAACATTTCTTCATTTCTTATAGTTCTTTGTGTAATTTTAGGGCCCCTTGGACTTTTTCCAATCCACTTTGGCTTGTCTATTGGTGTCAACTGTATTTAGCTGATGTCTGAGCAGTCATGTTTGTTGCATGATTATTAAAAACCCAGAGACAGGTATTGGGGTTCAACCTGAAGGTCAGAAAAACAAAACAGCCAGCCACTGGCTCTTATCTTTACCTTAGTTCAAAATGGCAATCCTGCCTCTAGGAATCTCAGAATGAGACTGAGATTGAGTTCTGCCTCCTCCTATCTTATGTTATTCTCTAGTGCTGGGATTAAATGCATGCACCACTACCACCTGTTTTTTAGGTTTTTATGACAAACTAGCATGGCCACTGGGATTAAAAGTGTGTGTCAGCACTACCTGGTCTGTAAGACCGACCAGTGTGGCTGTTTTAATCTCTGAACTTCAGGCAAGCTTTATTTATTTAAATACATTTCCCCTTTTTGTCTAAAATAAAAAAGACAAAAGCTACAACTAATATAAGAAAAACTGTGTACAGTAAGTACAATGACTATATACAATATATATAGGCAATAAATACATCAACAATGTCTCATCCATTTGCATTTCACAAATTTAGAGGAACTACTCCTTATCTTGTGAGTCCAAAGTCTTGTACCTAATTTATTTTCTATCATAACTTGCCTTCTGCATTTAGTAAACTTTAACTATAACTGTGTACTCTTCAACTCCCTCAGAGACCCAAGAAGGAAATAATATCAACCAAGTAATCAGGAAGTATGAGCAATGAACTTCCAAAAATGTGAGAAATGACAGAAATAGCAGGCCTCCTGGACGGTCACCCAAAGTTCCTCTATAACATTGGGGTATCTGTCTTTGGCCTATAGGCCTAGCATATCCAATAGACTTTTCTGTGAAGCAGGATATTCTGAAGGGTGGACCTTCCTTGAAAATGTTTCACCATCACTTTCTTTTGTGCCCTGCTTATTCAGTTAGGACAGCATACTGTCAGCAGCTGAAGCAAGGGAATTTTCTTGCCCAGCATCTTACTTTTGCCACAAAGAAAGTAAACTCCATGTGGAGTTTCTTTGATGCCTGTTATCTTCTCTGATTTAGATTAGTGGTGCCAGGAGCAGACATGTCTCATTGTCATAAAAGGAGCCTATGTTATTAAAACATCTTAAATGCTATATTCTGTTGATCTATGAAGTGTTTGAAGATGATCTAATATATATCTTTGTTTGACCTTGAAAAAATACCTAATGTGACTACAAACGCGATTATAAAAAAAGACTAGGGCCAGGCGGTGGTGGCACATGCCTTTAATACCAGCACTCGGGAGGCAGAGGCAGGCGGATCTCTATGAGTTCGAGGCCAGCCTGGTCTAGAAGAGCTAGTTCCAGGACAGGAACCAAAAAGCTACAGAGGAACCCTGTCTCGAAAATCAATCAATCAATCAATCAATCAATCAATCAATCAATCAATAAATAAAAATAAAGACTAATTACTAAACCTGTATTTCATTATTACCCTAACCAGTTGTAAATAATAATTTTGAAGGACTAGAAATTTGCAACCCACTGTTAAATGAGCTGAATAGGTACAATACTTTGAACAGGAGTAGAAATGTATGTACAGAATATTCTAAAAAATATCAATCTCAAATTTGTATCAATATACAAAATTTGTATGCAATATATAAAAGTCCAATCCAATGTAAAACATTAAAATTAATAGTTGCTTTTAAAATTAGATTCAATTATCTACACTTTTATCATATCTATATCCTCCCTTCTTTCAGAGTAGAATCAATAATATACCCATTTATACTATCATTTCTATATCCCCTTTTTTTCTTTTCAGAACATGACCCTGAATCTAATTTCTTTGTTTAGCTTCTTTCCTGACCATTACCCGTAAAAATGTGTAACCAGCACACTACAAAAAGAACTCACGAATACCACTTTAATATTTGGTAACAGAGCCTCTTTTGCCTAATATATATATATATATATATATATATATATATATATATATATCCTTTCAATACATATTTATTTTATATGTATTGGGTTCATAAATTCCAGAAGGGTTTTAACCTTTTTTCACTTGGCTACTGAAATACTTTGCCTACCTTCCCATGGCTAACATGCCAAGAGGAGCCAACCATGAGCATGTTGTGAGCATTCTTCCAGATGCTTGCTTCCTTTACACACACACACACACACACACACACACACACACACACTCATATGGAACACACAGCTGTGCTCCTTTTAAGTATACACGAGCAATATGGATCTCATCGCTTACCATTAACGATAGATGTTATGCCTCACTGTATAGCACAAGCTAGTCTCCCTCCAGCCTTTACACCTCCTGCACCAGCTTACTGAATGCTGTGTATAGATACGCACCACCAGAGTATTCTTTGTTTAATATTTGTAGAAGTTCATTGTAGGGATATTCCATACATTAACCTATCATGTGTTAATAATTCTTCAATTTGTTTGTGAGCAGGTGAGAAGAGTAGCTATAAATAGCATGGGAACTTCATATGTATCATTAAACTGTTTTTATGAGCTGAGGATTGTTGTGTATGCCTTTAATCCCAGCACATGAGAGGATGAGGCAGACAGATTTCTATAAGTTCACTGCCACCTAGTATACAGAGCAAATTCCAGGACAGCGAGAGCCTCTTAAAAGAGCTGCAAGGATTTCTGCCACTAATGCTGAGTCAGGAGACCTCTCTTAAAGGAGCCATACCTCTGCTTGCCTATTGCAAACAGAGCCTACCTGAGACAATCCTGTACCAAGAAGCCTTTCTTAACTTTGTTCTTTTGTGTCTAGAAACCCTTCCCAAGCTCTCTCAGGTTTTATATAAATGTAGTTGCCAAACATTGTTGATTTGTTGCACAATTAATAAAAATAAAGCCAGAGATGGGTATTGGTGTTCAGCCTGAAGAAAAGCAAAACAGCCAGCCGTGAGCTCTTAGCTCTAACTTCTACCTCAGTCAGAAATAATGACCTTGCCTCTAGGAATCTCACAGTGAGACTGTGCGAGTTATCCTCCCTCCTATCTCACATTCCTCTCTAGTGCTGGAATTAAAGGTGTGCATGATTACCACCCCATTTCTATAGCAAAATAATGTAGTTACTGGGATTAAAAGTAGGTGTCAGCACTGCCTGGTCTGTAAGGCTGATCAGTGTGGCTGTTTTAATCCCTGAACTTCAAGCGAGCTTTATTTATTAAAATACAAGTGAAATATCAGTGACCAGTTATGTTTATCTGACATTATTGGGAGATATAATCTCACAGAAAATGCCCTGAACTTCTAGCCCTTCCACCCTATTTGCTTCCTGTTATAGGAAGGCTGCTTATTTGTTCCCAGCTGCTCAGACCATAAATAATCACTCAGAAACTATAGTATTTGCAATAGTGTTTGGTCAATAGCTTAAGCGTATTTCTGGCTAACTCATATCTTAAATTAACCCATCTCCATTATTCTGTGTATCACCACAAGGCTGTGGCTTACCAGGGTAAAGTTCCAGCATCTGTCTTTGTCTAAATGGCTTCTCTCTGACTCTGTCTTCTTTCTCCCAGTATTCAGTTTTGTTTTTCCCACCTACCTCTATTCTGCCCAACACAGACCTAAGACAGTTTCTTTATTAACCATTGGTATTCACAGCACACAGAGGGGAATCCCACATCAACTCACATTTTCTGTTTAAATAAAAAAGAACGATTTAACTATTACAATTACATATAAAAAGGGTATCAAGCAAGAATTAGAGTTACATTACTTAAAATGTACGGGAGTATTTTGTAGTTGTATTCATTGGAACTGGGCTCCATAACTCCATTTTCATTCAGTGGAATTTTCTATGATGATTTTCATCTATTATAAATAGAAGTTTCCATGTTAAAGAGTAAAGAACACAATATTGGTGGATGTAAGGAAAAATGTTTAGATTGTTGTTGGGGATTATGCTAGTTTAGTAAACTAGTGATTTATGTTCTCCTCCAATATTGGTGACTTCACTGTCACTGGGGAGTTAGCTCCGTTTCCAGTACCAGGCATGACTTCCCTCTTATTGGGTGGGTCTTAATTACATTTAGAAAACCTGTATGTGACTGCCAAGGTATGTGTGCTGCTACTGCACCCTTAGGGTTATCCAGCCATTCTGGTTGTTTTCCATTGACATCATAGCTGGGTAGGATTGTTGTTTGCCTCTCCCCTTTGGAAGATTACATGGTACCTTCTGGTAATATGAAAGCTAATCCTCAGGTTTTGACAGATGTTTCTGTCCCAACGGGTCCCACAGTCTTTCAGTCCCAACAAACACACAAAGAGTTCTCCATTAATCATAAACTGGTTGGCCTATTAGCTCAAGCTTCTTATTAACTCTTTCTTACCTCTTAGGTAAACCCATTATTCTTGTCTGTGTTAGGCACATGGCTTGGTACCTTTCATCAGCAAGGCATTCCCGTCTTGCTTGTCCTCTGTGTAACAACTGAAGCCTGAGCTTTTCTTTTTCCATAATTCACCTGTTCTTGTCACCCCACCTTTACCTCCTGTCTGGCTACTGGCCAGTCAGCACTCAGGGAGGACACATTCAGATTAGTTCCAGCTTAGAGA